ACATACACACACACACAAACACACATACACACACACATACATACACACACACAAACACACATACAGACACACATACACACGCATACACACATATACACACACACACACACATACACACACACACAAACACACATACAGACACACATACACACGCATACACACATATACACACACAATCTATAATATCACATCGATTTACATTTTGGAAAATTTACTTTCTAAAATGTCTTCTCCAGTCTGCGGAGAAGCTGTGTCAAATTCAGTGCCCCGACAGGCAGGCTCGACAAGGCCTCTACTACATTTCTGGGTTTTTGGGTTTTTTTTTTTACGGCGCTCGCAATTGCATAAGGTCATTTGAGCGCGTGGGACACATTAAACTTTTTCAGTTGGTAGGAAAATTTGAATTTAGCCCGGGTGGCAGCCGAAGCCTACTTTTTTCGATTTTAGACCTCCAAGGGATCTGTAACGTGCGCAGCTTGCACACGGGCCCTCTGAGATTTTTCGCCCTTGTCCGAGAAGGCTCGGTGTAGATCTTTCCTGCCCGAAGATCAGGGGTGGGGCAGAAAGACAGCAGTAAGGAGGAGCCAAGGAGTAGCAGTAGAAAGGCTGCAGAAAAAGCCAGGAGCCCAGAGAAGAGGGCAGAGGAGGTGAGGGTGTGGGGGCAGAAAGAAGAGACGACAGCAGACGACAGGACATTGCTAGAGAGCAGGAAAGGGGGTGAAAGGAGACATTTTTAGAGAAGAAAAATGTTCTGTCGCTACCCGGATTCGAACCCGAATGAGAGGCCAATACCCTAACCTCTAGGCCACGAGAGCCCCCCTCCCCCCTCCCCCACCTTTCTAAGTAAGTGATCAACATTGTGTCGACGTAGTCGTTTTTGCAGCCATACAATCATGCTACAATTTAATGCGATGCGCTCTTCATCACTACCTTCCAACATCAGTAGTCCCAACATACCGATGTTGAGTAACAATGTTTACGATGCATATTAAATGCAATTATATTTGTTGTACATGTAATTGTGGTAACTGCGCTAGAGGTTTTCTCTACTCAAAATGCCATCGTGTTTATGCTTTTAAAAAAATAGCACGGAACTGGTCTGGGATAGAGTTCGTTGACTCCTGCTCCCCCACTGATAAGCGTAGCACAAGGATTAATGTTGTAATAATAATAATAATAATTTTAATTATAAAAATAATGTAAACCATTATAAATTGTGCCTACTCCCGTGTACCCACAGGCCAAGGTGATTTACATAAACCCAAGTACAAAAAACCCCCCAGTAAGTGTGAAAAAATCAATTTGTTCATGTGAATGAAGAAGTGATGTCTGCACAAACACACACAGACATACACATACATACACACACTCACACACACGCACACACGCACACACACACACACACACACACACACACACACACACATCAATTGGGGCACTCTAAAAACCAGTATAAAAACTGATGACAGAGAGCCATATGCAACCCCCGTTTGTGCACGGCCAGTCAAATAGAACCTGAACAAGTGAAAAACTCTTCTGAACAGGCCAAACGTGCTGAACAACGATCAAGTGAAAATAATGTGATCTATAGCGTCAAAAACTCTATTAAGATCAAGAAGAACAATGAATGAAATTTCAGATTTATCAGCCTAGTGTTACCATAATCTATAAGGATAACCGGATAATTCTCAATGAAACATTATCCGAATTCAGACTATTAACTCTCTTTCTTGACTCATTTGTCGAATTGGGTGCACCCATTTGTTGAAGTAGTGCTAACCAGTTTGTTGAAGTGGTTCTAACCTTTTTGCCGAAGCAGTTCATATACTATTATCTGCCGAAGAGGCTCACTAACATATTATCCGGATTTTGCTAAAGCGACTCATTGCCCAGCCCTACTTCTGACCACGGTCAAGCTTTCTCTCCTCAGTGCGCACTTGACCACGGTGAGAGTCGTGTACAGCCCTTCAATTAAGCGTAATGGTGCAGTTCATAGCGCCCACGACAGGCAGCAAACGTTTTTATGGAGAGCAAAGAGCGGCGGTCATGATAATGCTCAGTAAAGGAGAACAAAGCCATGACTCCAACTTATGAATTGGTACAATCATATTTATTTGTGCTTTTAATGCCAGTGATTCAGGGGGCAAGATTAATTTACTCATTTGCTAGAACCTCTACAAATTGGTGCAAATTAACATTCGTAGAAAAAATTACCGCAATAAATCCGCGAGTCGAGGGTGGTGGTATAAAGCTTGGTGGTCCGCCTCACGGACTGTGAATGAGGTAAAATTTTGCACTCAGCCCTGTTCTGCCGCACATCCTTTATACATCTGTAAGTCATTCAGCTGTTATTGCTTTTCACTCGGTCAAACATCCAGGCAGTGCGTCCGATAAATCCGGTCCATCGCCAGAAACAATCTCCCCCATTACCTCCCGGTAAACCTTTATAGGCCGATCGTAAAACAAGCGGGGCCTGGCTAACTGCGCAAGTGGTGTAAAGGATTCGAAAGAGCCTTGGGAAATACAAAATATTGCCTGTCTATTCACGTACAAGGTTAGTCTTTTGGAAAGCATGTTTTAATAATCTTTTTTCACACCTCCAAATTGTTCTCATTGTTTCATTTCAATTTCCAACTTTTTCGATGACAAACCAAACCATGTTCAAATCAAATAGTCGTAAAAACTGACGTTTTAAGGTAAATGTATTCAGCATCAACTGAACAGGTTCTACAGATATTTAATTTTTCTACTTGGTGAGTTTTTCCAGGTAAAGTTAATTTCGGATCTTATTTAGCTCATTCCCTTAAGCATCATAAACTGTGGCGAACAAAGACACTATTTTCCTCAAGTTGGGAGGGCATGCAAGTGGGGAAATGCTCTCATGGACAGACTTTAACAACAATTAATATATTATATTGTTTTCACCACAACTTGCTTACTTGCTTTAAATCAGTGAGCCCTGGCTCCCCCCCCCCCCAAAAAAAAAGAAGATGTACAACGCAGCCTACTCTTGTGGATCTCCTGGAGCTCTTGTTCACTTTATGACTTCAAGAAGATCTCACCGTCAAAGAGAAGTAGTGACATTTTAAGAAAACGTTTCAAAGTGTATTGTAATATCATGTGACTTTTAATGGACACGGAAGTTTATCTTCCAGTACAGCGCAGTTAATAGGGTACATAGGGAGAAATTCTAAAATGGGGATGTATGTCTTTGTTAGCCGCGGGTATTGATGAAACGTGCGTTTTCCAAAAGCTGAGGATTTACACAGAGGCTTTCAGGGTGACCAAACAAGACAGGACCCCCCCCCCCCCCCGCCCCACTCAACTTGATTACTTGATCCTGGGAACAAGATCATAGCACTCCGGACATTGCCATACGTGCCCCGCTCCCTGCTCCAATATCCACCCCAGAGTCCATCTGCTGATCTTTCCGGTGTTTATTTGGTTAATAACCCGTCTTTCCATCCCCTGTGCTATGCTGGTACTGCAACTTCCTCTGAAGACACCCAGTTCTTCAAGTCGTATGATGGGCAAATAGTCATGCTCAATCTCCTCATCTTCAAGTGTGGTGGCAAGGGCCTTCACGACATCATTTTTGTCCATTTTAATGTCAGTATTGTCAGGTGCATGGCTCCCCAGTTTGTCAGCTTGTTCCTTTCCCACCATACCCGTATGGCTTGGAGCATAGATCCACGTTATTTTTCTCAGTCTGGTTTCTTCTATGCTTTGCAGCCACTCTTTTCTCAGCATTGACTTATTGACTAGCTGCAATATGTTTTGAGAGTCAGTAACAATGACAGCATGTTTGGAGGAACGCAAGCTCTCTTTTAGCCATTCAAATGCTTTTGTCATTGCCTCTACCTCCATTCTTGTGCTTTAAGTCGTCTTGTTGCATGCACCAGATGCTGAGACCTTGACGTAAATTTGTTTAGTAAGAAAATTTATAAAAGGCTCTTTCAATGGCCTGAGTGATTTGTCAACTTCAACAACACACAGAAGCTCTGTGTTCAAAGCCTAAAAGACTACGATTCTTTTCTTGCCATTCCAGGAACGTCCTCTCGCCTAATTTGATTTGTTTTTATGTGTGTATTTTGCTGAAAAAAACCCAAGAGAAAAAACCGTAAATTGCCAGTATTTAAGGGCACCCAAGGTCTGGATGTCACCAAACTTAGGCTACTGTTTTGTCGCTAATTTTACCCCGGACACATGGCAACCCCCACATTACTTAATCGAAAACAACTCGATTTCTATTCAAATTATGGTAGGTGTTTTATACACCAAAGGCGCGACAAATAAACAAGCTTTAATACGAGATCAATAACTCCATGTGCCGAAAAGATTACGATCGCCTGACTTCACCGCGTCGTGACACATACTATGAACCAAGATTTATTTTTTACGTTTCTTCCTCCAGAAGCCATGAATATCCTGCTGTGGAGCGGCCTCCTACTTCTGTGTACCGGAGTGAGTGTGTGGGCGTGTGACGATCCTCTGATGCTCACCCCGATCCTGGAGGCCGGTGACGTGGACAAGGCACAGAACCTGAGCCGTGTGGTGATGCCCGCCTTGTACAACGGCACCAGCCACGCCGGCTTCCTAACGGCCAACAAAACTTTGGGGAACCACCTGTTCTTCTGGTTCTTCCCGTCTATGGAGCAACAGGACGCGCCTTTACTCGTCTGGCTCAACGGCGGACCGGGAGTATCCTCCATGTTAGGTTTATTTTGGGAAAATGGCCCGGTGGAAGTTGACGAAAGCATAGCGACTTCAGGCTATATAAAATCGAAACTTCGTGAATTTTCCTGGGTGGGGCCGTTCTCGATGCTGTACATTGACAACCCAGTACAAGTGGGGTTTAGCTACACTGAGAGCGGGGATGAGGGGCTGAGGTTGAATCAGGAAGGCTATTCAGAAGATCTCTACTCAGTTATGCTGCAGTTTTACAGCCTGTTTCCCGACTATCATAATAGAGAACTGTACATCGGAGGCCAGTCGTATGCCGGGAAATACGTGCCTGCCTTGGCTCATAAAATCCACGTCGGGAATAGAGATGGTAACACTCACTTACCGTTGGCAGGGATTTATCTCGGAGGCCCTTTTTTCGCCCCCGAGGAGGAAAATTTGGCATTCTATGATTTCGCTTTTGCAATGGGCTTTGTTAGTCACGAGACTGTAGTAGAACGTAAGACAGAAATTGTGAAAATCTACGAGAAAGTGCGAGAAGGGAAACATCTGAATATGACTATGATGGATTTGATGACCATGTTTTGGTATGACGTGGGTCTTGAAACTAACGATAACTTCGTCACACAACAGAGTGCTAGTTACGGTTTGCTTGATGCAGTGATGCGACTGAAGGAGATCCGCAAAGCCTTGCATGTTGGCTCTCAGGACTATGGGGCATTTTCATATTCCATCTATTCAGCGTTTAGCGAGGATTTGGTCGTGAGCACGATACCGCAAATGGCAGACCTCCTGGACAACTACAAAGTGCTGATATTCACTGGAGATTACGACGTCATCATCAACTCGCCCATGGTGGAAGCAGGACTCCAGGCCACTCCCTGGAGTCTGAGGGAAGAATACCTGAACGCCACCAGGTCCATCTGGATGTCAAGCTCATTGGACCTGATCGGTTATTTCTCCCTGACCGGTCAGTTTTGCCGGGTGGTTGTCCACGGTGCTGGACACCAGGTGCCACACGACCAGCCTCAAAGAGCTTTCCAGATGATAACTGACTTTGTACGACACGGCTGTATACAGAACAACCTCTAGACAAAAACAGATTATTTCAGTGCCTCCTCTTGCTTTGTTTGGGATATGAAGAGGGTCATTCGTTTGTTTGTTTATTGGAAACATAACAAACAGATCGTCATTGCTCGATCTGTCGGAAGGACAACGGGATGCTAATTCCTTAGAGGACTACATGTTTAATGTTTTCCTTTTTACAGAAAGGTTCTTGGGCCTTTTGTTTAATAAGTAGCCAACAAGCTTTAAGAAAGACATTTTGTTGGCTAATGTTTATATCAACTACATGATATTGTTCTCAGAATCTAGTTTCTGCCCATATTGAAAGAATATAACTACTAAACATTCATGAAAAGCCTTCCGCACCTCTACCAACCTGTAAGTAGTGAGATATTCGCAAATAAAAATGTCAAAATTTTTAGCATATAAAATGGTCCCACTTCTTGCTGTAATCTAGCTTATTATTTACCCATTTGCTCACTAAACCCACGTCTCTCCAAACACATACGTACATTTACCTGACAGGGGCCAAAAGAGATTGGAGCTGAAACACTTGAAGTTAGAGGCCATCTCAAATAGGATGGTTCTTCTTAGTCAAAAAGAAACATGCATCACATAATTTGAGCAGAAACAAGTCGAGAAACAGTGGCGAAAGAGAGTTGAAGTGTTAATTACTGTTCAGTTATAATATTTGCATAATGCCTTTATCAATGTGCAGCTGTTATTTAAGAGGCCAAATTTCCTATATCGATACATAAGTATGTATTGATACCACTGGGAAGGGGGATAGGGATTGTTTTCAGAAGGGGATTTGATTAGGATTACTTTCAACTTGTATACTGGGTTTTAGAATAAGAATTCCTGAAAAATTTTACAACTTTTTTTCTGAATATCTCGCACGAAATTTATACTAGAATGTTGCAATTTAGAACATATATAATCCATTCAAAAGGAATTTGTTTGGCATAAAATTCATCAAGAAGAAACTTATTTTTGTAAACGGAAATCACTTTTTATCAAACCACTCATAAACGAAAAGGGCAACAAGTTAAAAGATCGTGTAAAGAAAGTAAGAAATGAATCGTGTTATCCCCCTTCCTTTTTTTTTCAAAATTTAATTTTTCCATCTCTGTAACATTTAAACAATGTTTCTTTTCTTTCACAGAGTTTTAAAGATGCTCTTAAAATCTATAATTCCGAAAATCAGTGCTCTATATGTCCTCATTTGGACTCGACACATTTCAAAGATTCTTTCGCAACGTTCAGTGGTGGCCAAAAACAAAGATGCTCAAAGTCACACACACTCTGCACCGTAAAACTCTTACTAAAACTAAACACTCTGCACCTTGCAGTACGGGGCTGTTTCTAGAGACAATAAGAGAGTAGGGAGGTGGTTATAAACCAACGATTTTTATCAAAGAAAGTGGATGGCACTGACCGGACATGAAGTAGGTGACCTGTCCATCTGCTCCAGAGTCAGGGTCATTGGCGCTGACCGTGATGACCAGGGTTCCAGTCGAGGCATCCTCTGGTACCGTCGAGTGGTAATATGTCTGGGAGGTATGGGGAGTGGTGTGTGTGTGTGTGTGTGAGTGTGTGTGTGTGTGTGTGTGTTTGTGTGTGTGTGAGTGTGTGTGTGAGTGTGTGTGTGTGTGTGTGTGTGTGCGTGTGTGTATATGTTTGTGTGTATATGTTGGTTGGTGGGGGGGGGGGGGGGGGTAAAATAAGGGCACTGAATCATCGGAGGAGTGAACTCATACATCATAAATTGAATTATTTGAACTTGGACAAAACAATACAGGCTTGAATATAGACATGTTTCGGTTCAACGGTCCCACAAACATGGTAAAAGCATTAATTTTGGACTTCATAGTATGAGCTTGAACATAGGTATGTCAGGGTGGAAAGGCTTTACGGATATAATATGCTAAAGTCATTACACAATGCCTGTGTGATTGCCTGAACAAGCCCTATTATTATGTGCTGTTCTGCTCATTTAGCGCCGGTCTCACCCTGCGCAAAATGCAAATGTAGCCGTCGACCAATTAAAGTGATGTTATGTACAAATGTCCTTTAGCCTCAATCAAATCAGAAATAAAACGGATTTGAGGTGAGTGAGACTTTTGAATTGAGCGTCCGACCTAAATAGGATTAAGATTACTCAAAGTCACAATATAACTTATACATTGTATAATATTTGTAAAAAAGAAAGGCGAGAAACAAAGACAATGGGGATTTAAAGTATTTGTTGCTCTTTTCAATGCTTTATGGTTATTTATGTGTCCGATATCAACGTACTTCTCAAATAGATTTTTTTTTCACCTCTCACGACCACCTGCAAAAGACAACCACCTGTACAAACAACCATATCCCACTTTCCACCGGCCTCTTTTCTATATTAAATAACCTAAGACAATCACATTTCTCTTGACAATGGACAGCTGTCTTAGAAAATTTGGTCTGTAATTTCCGTTATGTTCATTACAATGACATAATCATTGTGTAATGCTTTTTTAAAGCCATGACACTCAAAAGACAAGATTCTCGCATTAAGCACCGGCTCTCTATTGGGATAGGTGGGCTGTAGCAAGGAGGGTCAGAGAAAGTCATCTAATAAATTTTCAAATAGCTTGTAGATAGCGGAGTAAACCATTTAAGCTTTCAAACTTGCAATGTCGAAGTTCAGAATTTGGGATGAAATGGCCCGGGGCTCAACCATAACCCCCACTTACACTGGTATAATTGTTCTTTGCGTGCGAATTTGTACAAGATTAACGCCTCTTTCAACACTGTAAGGTTATCTAAAACTCAGGACCTCCGAATGTATTGTCCATCACCGACTGGACCGAGCCACATGAGTGGAGAGAGAGCCTTAAAAACTTCCCAAAACAGTCCAAGTTCAGAACGCCCTAATGGAGATCTGAACTAAGGGTAGTCCAGCACGCTAGCATGCCACCAAATGAGCTAATGGCGCGCCGTGTACCTGTGTGAAGGCGGGAACTCTGTCGTTGACGTCCAGCACAGTGACCACCACGTTGACCACAGCTTTGTCCGAGGACTTGTCCGAGGAGAAGGCGTATACCTGACAGCTGATGCTGGTGCTCGTCTCGAAGTCCAGGGCCGTCTTCACCAGCAGGTCCCCTTTAATAATAATGATTATAATGGTAATGACAATAATAATATAAAAAAATAAATTTTAAAAATAAAATATTAATAACAACAACAACAACAACAACAACAACAACAACAACAACAACAACAACAACAACAACAACAACAACAACAACAACAACAACAACAACAACAACACGGCGGTGGCATCTCTTCGGGGAGGATTCAGGGAGGTTGGACTGCCTTACCCGCTACCCAAGGGAGGCGGTGGCCCTGGCGAAGAGCACACTCTTCGGGGCTCCGAACATTTCGAACGGATAGGCTACCACACACACACAACAACAACAACAACAACAACAACAACAACAACAACAACAACAACAACAACAACAACAACAACAACAACAACAACGATAACAATGATAATAATAATAATAATAATTATAATAATATATAATAATAATATAATAATAATAATAATAATATAATAATAATAATAAAGAAGACCATTTTTGATTCACTTTCCCATTTTCTAAAAACAAAAAAAGCCTAATACACATAACAGCAAAAAGGAGATATAACATTTCGAGAGAGGATGAGATGAGGAGTGATAGGAAGGGGTTATGAAAATAGAGGGTTTGTGAATAAGATAAGATAAGATACATCTTTATTGTCCAGATCCTGGCTCATTGGTTTGGTGTTTCACCACGCACTCACACACACGCACGTACACGTACACGCGCGCGCGCACACACACACACACACACACACACACACACACACACACACACACACACACACACACACACATACACACATAATCATGCACACACACGCAGTGCACTTGCACTCACAGACAGGTTTACAGTCACAGGCATAAAAAAATGAACAGTAATATAAACAATAATATGCTAAGCTCGATACATACTCAGTATCAGTACATGTATTCTGATCGTAACTCAATGGTATTTTGATACATGCTCTAAGGCCATATGAATACTTATAACAAGATGATTAAGATGGAAGAAGTTTGATGGATGAAGGTTAGAATGACCTTCTTTATCTTTCTTTGTTACAGATCTAGGGTAGCGATTTGTGTGTGTTATTGAGCTGTGACATTGTGAAAGTACTATTGAGTTTATTTCATAAATAGATGGACAAAGTTTACACGAATTATCTATATCCTGATAGAGAAACTGAATCAAAATAAGGCAGTTGACTTGTGTAAGGATAGAATGGCGGTGAACGATTTGATTCATAGATCAATATCTATCAACCCAAAGCAGTTCTAAACGATTTCAATGTGAAACGAACCGCTAACACAAGTTAGGAAAGGCTCCACCTTTGCTCTCGTTTTATGACTATAACTTTCACCAAAAAATGTGGAAAAAAAGACCTGGCTGTAATGTAACCTCTGAATTGTTTCATGTATAAATTGTATTTATTTTACCTCATGTAGCCCAAATGTCCAAGCGGGGACATGTGAAGATATCAGCAATACTTTTATTTTATGTCCTTTCCTGTTAAGGATTAATTGCAAACGCTTTTCTCCAGATCAGTGTAGTCGGTAGGCTAGTGAGATTGCGGGTTCGGGGTTTCGAGCCTCAGCTTGGTCCGACGTTGTGTCCTTGGGAAAAGCACTTTGCTCGTATTTCCTATTTGGCTCGGTCCTTTCGAAGACAGACGTTAAAATAGGAGGTCCCGCCTCTTAAATAACGTAATAATGTCGAAAGGGGCGTTAAACCCAAACCATTTCCCCATTTCTTCCAGATCAGATCAATCAGGAGGGATGCTGTATCGACCTTATTGCACAGGGCTAGCCAGGCTGAATGAGATTTTACACCTCAGCAGAAAGATCGAGGTACTCGACTAAGTATAATCTTCCTCCACATCAAAACCAAATTCACATCCATTGGATACCAAGGTAACAGCCTAATCATTCTTTCACATACAGACAGACGTGCTTCTGGGGATCTCACCTGTTCTCTGATCTATCATGAGCCAATCAGGATTCGGGCTGGTTTCAAATCCGTAGATGACCCTTGAATTGTCCGTGCCTGGCTGGTCAGCATCCGTGGTGTTTAGTCGAACTATGGTAAAGCCCACTGGGGCATCTTCGTTGACCGCTGGAGAAAAAACCCCCAGGATACAATATGTGGTAAAAGAAAAAGATACCCCCCCCCCCTCAATAAAAAATGAAGATTAAAAAAACCCAGTAAAAACTAAACTCTTCTTTTTTTTAAAAATCTCAAATTTAACGTTTTCGAGCGCCACGTTGATCACAGCGCAATGTTTTCAGTTTCTGAAAGACATAACGGAGGTCCTACTTCTACCCCACTTTGAGCGCCCAGACGATTTGGGTTGAATAGTGGAAAGGTAATGGTTAGATCTATGCACCCACTTTGTTTTTGCGTTTCTCTGGTGTTGTAATTTATTAACCTCGATGTTAATACCATTTACTTTATTCAAAAAAATGGGTTCTCTCCATTAGTAATGTCAATTTCCGAATAAAAAATATTGCTACTTCATATATCCCCTCTTCAAGAGTTAGGGTTCATTATTTTCTTAGGTTTTTTTTTTCAAATAGAACCATACGAATAATATTTAAATAAATCCCAAATCTTTAAGAAGACATCTACAGTTTCAGTCTCATCACCTTATCAGGTAAGCTACTAAAACACCTGTACTGTATTTCCAATCTTTGTTCCCGTCAGCTGGTTATCCGTTGGGAGTATAACACTTCACTGATTAGTCTACTTAACAACTTTTATTTACTAAAAACAAAAGAAAGTAAAACAACTGGACAGGTGCACATACTACATCACATAATATATTATCGCTGTCTCTCTCTTTTTCTGCCCCCCCCCCCCC